ACGGCCTCATAATGCGTTCTGGTTTCGCCACTGTTTCCGGTAGAATTTTTTGATGATTTGTTTTTATCATGTTCCACATCAAGTCTAAATTATTCATATCAAATTTCAGTTAAAAACTTAATCGAGAGGACAATAAAAAAAAAAAATTCATACGAAAACTATGCTTTAATATGATATTCACACCACATCAAAGTTAATACGCTGGTCGCTGGATTTGATCAATTTGTTCTCTCACACTGGCACACCGCTACCGACGTGAATATTATCGTTGATGATGTGATTTGTTGAGTTAATATCCGAAGAACTGGGGGATCATTAATCGAAAACTGAAAAGCACCCCATTCACTTATCATCGAACATGCTGCCAAATGAGGTCGCTTACTGCGGAGTGCGGACTATATTATGCTATTTATGCAGGCATACTCTAGCCTAGGCATGGACCCGGACTCGATCCGATCCCGGTTTTTCATTTATGGAAGCCCGGGACCAACTTGGGTATTATGGCCTCGATCTCTGGCCGGGCCTCGTCCTGGACTCGGGCCGGGCGGCCCGACCCGGAACCGGCCCGGCCCGGCCCGGTGGCCCGGTCCACCGGCGGTTCGGGTCAAACCGGCCCGGTGGTTCCCGGTTCCGGGCCCGGGCCTCCCATATGGTGAACCGGCCCGGCCGGTTCGGGCCCGGTCCGGGCCGGAAATATATTTTTTTTTTTTATTTTTTTTGAAAATTTTTTATGTTTTGGGTTAGATTAGGTATTTTGGTCCATTTGAGGTGGTTTGGGGTGGTTTGGGGTTGAGAAAGAGGGGTAGGGGATTAAATAAAGAAGCCAAAAAAAAGAAAAAAAAAATAGGGCGGGTGGCCCGGCCCGGAACCGGCCCGGTCTGGCCCGGAACAGCCCCGGAACCGGCCACCCCCGGTTCGGGCTCGGGCCTCAATATTCTGAACCGAGGCCCGGCCGGGCCCAGGCCCGAGGCCCGAACCGGCCCGGTTCAGTCCAGCCCTAGCCGGGCCGGACCTCGGTCTCTAAGGATGTTTTCTTTTAGACTTTTTTCAGTCTCAGACCAGGCCAGATCAGACTAGATCAGACTTCTGTAGTTATAAAATACACAGAGATCAGGCATTTACCAAATCAGTTCAGACCAGACCAGACCAGAGCAGAGATCAACAAATTTCAGTCCAAAAGAAAACATCATAATTGTAAAATATTTATGTTTTCTCAAGTGATTTCTGATCTAGAGCTCATAGGTGTGTACTTAAAATTGTTTTTTTCTGATGTACTTAAAATTGTTTTTTTCTCTTTCAAAAGCAGTAACATATATTACCCCGTTTCGAAAAGAAGTTTTCATTTCCATTTTATGAATGTCCCAAAAGAAGTTCTCATTTCTATAAAAGGAAATTACTTTTAACCCAACTACTCTTACTTTTTTTACCCACTTTTTGTTTGATTTGACATAAAGTAAGAGTATACTTGAAAAGTAAAAATGAAATTCTACCTTACATAAATATGTGTGTAGATCAAATCAGGAACTTTATTTCGGGACATAGTAAGTATTAGAGTGTTTGGACGAAAATACAGAAATACTGATGAGTGCTATAAATTGCCCCTAAATTTAGTTTTTTAGAGCCCAATTTTTTAAAAACTGTTTATGATTCTACTTCTTATGTCAAAAAAGAAACATAAGCAGAATCTGATCCAAATACCTCATATATCATCTTATTGTCACTTTGCTTTTATAATACTTACTCCCTTCATCCCATAAAATTCTTCCCACATGGACTTGACACACATATTAAGAAGGTGAGAGTAAGGTGGAAATGTATGGTTGTAGTTGTGTAAAAAAAGGTAAAAATGAATGTGAGCCACATAAATTGTTCAAAAATAGTAAGTGAGAAAAATTTTTTGGGACGAGCCAAAAAGGAAAATTGGAAGAATTTTATGAGACGGAGGGAGTATTATTATGTTTTCCCTCTAGAAAGGTTATCTCTTTGATGCAATACTCATAAAAACATTGAATTTAATTATATGATTAAATTTTATCTAAGAGGCAAATTGAATTGTATTTGAAATGGGCACAAAGAAATGACTCTTTTTAGCTAATGGAGGAAGTATATGCAATTTATGGAATTGTATTTGTAATTTGAAGGAGTGTAAAGGTGGGGTCGGCTTGGTATATGTGTTTGGTATGACATATTCAACTATAAAAGTTATAAATATTACGTTTAGAATCGATAATTTATTTGGTATAACACTTTATCGATCTTGGCTCAATGTAACAGATATCACAGATGTGGTCATTACTTACACTGGTGTAATAGGCTTGACAACCCAAAACTAGTGTATAAGATCAGAGATTGTGCTCCAACTAACAAAGTAAAAATTTCAATTTGAACAACTTTTTCGCAAAGAAACCAAATACTTACTAAACGTGTAAAACTAACAAGACTTAAATGAAAAAAGAATCTTTGAAATGTAAAATAATGACTAAAACTATAAAAATTTACACAATCAATTATTTTTAGTAAAGAAAACAGATTTATAAAAAATTAAATCAAAACCATTCTAAAAACATTTACATTTTAAATACAATAATTATAAAGAAAAGTGAAAACAACAAACAAACAACAAACAACATCCAAACCTTAATTATTGAAAAAATAAAAGGTTAACAATGCTAACAAAACAATAAATAACTTGTAGAGATGTAAATCACTTTTGTTTCTTAAATGAATTACTTTAAAATAAAGTAGTCTCACCTCTATTTATACCAATCTCCTCCAAACTTCTCTAGAACTTTCTATGCATCACTACACTTCTAGAGTCTTCCAAGAAGTATCCACAAGCTTCTCTAATCTTCTAGAAGAATCTAGAGAACTCTACACTGCTTCAAAATGATCTAGAGGCTTCCACACACTTTTACACAATTCTAGAGAATTCCACACTTCTCTAGAAAGTTTCACAATGTTCTGAAATATTCTACACTCTTTCACACGCTTCTAGATAATTTCATGTCTCTTTAGAAAGTTTCAGAATATTCTGGAACATTCAATACTCTCCGACACTTATATAGAGAATTGTAGACATCTCCACAAAATTATAGAATTTTCATCAACTTCTCAATTTAGGAGGGAACCCAATAATTACTAAATTATTACTAAAATCAAATGTAAAAATACAAATATGATAGTCGCTATTTTATAAAATTAATTAAACATAATACTAGATCCAGTGACAGATTCATGATTTCGAGTCAAGGGGGGCGATTTTTTTTGTTAGTGTAGGGGGCGAACATTTTTTCGCTAGTGTAGCGGGACAGAATTTTTTCCACTAATGTAGTGGGGCAATATTTTGTCGCTAGTGTAGCGGGATGATTTTTTTTAACTATTGTAGGGCTTTGTGGCTAATTTTTATTAAAAACAAATCATTTGTACGTACACGTTGACATTTAAATCTATTACTCGGTACATTCTAAGTTTAGACAATGGAAAAGTAACTTTAATTTTGTAACCGTAAATGCTTTAGAAAAAAATATTGATACATTAAAGCATAAGAAATTGCAAATCAAAGGAAATTTATTTGAAAAAAAGGATATACTACAGTTTGTCAATCTACTTGAAGGTAAAAAAATTAAAAGGTACACATCAATCAATGCCTTTTAAATAAATTATGTCTTGTTTAACCACATGAACCTTATCGGAATAAAGAATTGGTTTTTGAATTGTAGTTTTTGTCTACCAAAGAGGGTGTTCATGGGTCACGAGATTTTTTTAATATTACAATAGTATATGTGAGATTATTAATTTTAGAATAATATTATATGTAGTATTGTTAATTCATATATGTGGTCAAATACGTTAAAGTTTATGATTTATGCAATAAATTGCTTTTAGAAAGTAAGAAGTAAATTAATTGTATAATTTAACGTCAACAAACATTTATATTTTGGATTCATTTCACATGATCTAAAAAAACTGTTTAACCAGTGTGTCTGGTATTTAATATCGTTTGATCTTTTACAAAATTTAGTACTAATTATCAAATAAAAATAATTAAATATTACTCCTTCCGTATCAAATTAACTGACCCACTTTCCTTTTTTGGTGTATCAATTTAATTGACTCATTTCCCTCTTTGGAAAGAATCCCACTCAAAAAGCAGCTACAGTACTGCTACAGTACCGCTACAGTGTCGCTACAGTACTAAAAACCTCTTACTTTTAATAAAGTCTACAGTAATTGTCTTAAACTGCGTGAAAAGCAAACAGGTCAATTAATTTGATACGGAGGGAGTACAAAGCTAGCAACTTTTAAATAATGGTATCCTAAGTCCTAAATTATCTAAATTATTTTAGATTTTACTTTTTGTAAATCTCCAATTAAGTATTACACTATATAAGGCTATATATTAACTTTGAAAACTAAAAGTTAAGAGAGAGAAAATATATACATCCAATAAAGTATGATAAATTTATGAAAATACTACATATATAGTAGAAAAATTTGAAAGTCCAAAAGAGCGATTGCCCCCGCGCCCCCTTAAATTCGTTGTCCCTGACTAGATCTAATAGGGAAAAGGTCAAAAAAATTATACCGGGAACCGCCCCAAATGGCGACGGCCACACAGAGCCTCCTATATAAGGGCTTATATGACCTTTTTATGTAAGTTCGAGGGTTTATCTGACCCTTTTCCCGATCTAATATTATGATCACTCCTACACACAAAAGTAAACTGTTATGCATTTTCTTATTGTATTATGCAACGGTCATTATTTCTTATTTTAAAGATTTTTCTATATAGAACAATTTATTCGAATATAAATTAAATATATTTACAGTTTTGGAATGGATGCATGACAAACAAGGCCGAATATCGCAAGGCGGTGAAGTTTTGATAGAAATGTGGAGACTTGGAGGCGGTGAAAATGATGTGGACAACGAAATTACGAAATTAGACATGCAGGAACCTCAATAAATGCTTCTTCTCCGTACATAAACCCGGGACCCCCTAAAAGTACAGCAGCAAAATAAAGCAAGAGAAACTGCCCGGATATTTTCGTCATTTTCACTTTCTACAAACAAGGAAATCCGCCTCCACTTTCCTCCAATCCCCGCTCCGTTTTCTTCCCTTCCGCTACGAAACTAAATTCATACTCAACTTGAATCGATCGATCGATCGATCCTTCAATCGAATGAAGAAGTTATTGACTTGTGCAAGGAGGAGGAAGAGCGGCGACAGTGGCGGCGGCGAAGAGACGGAATCGAGACTCACGGAGCCGGAGATGGACGCGGCCTTGCAGCTGATTCAGCTCAGCGGCGATTCCGACAGCGTACGGTACTGCAACAACGCCGGAGATGAGGAGAGCGTCACCGCTGACGCCGCCTCCGATAATAACGATCTCGATGAAGCTGCCTTGGAGGCTTTCCCGCGGCCGAGGAAACGGAAGTTCCGATCCGTCGTCGATCTCTATCAGGTCACGAAGCCCGTCCGCAATAAATCCAATAAGAAGCCTGCAACTGGTAAGAATTTCAGGAACTAATTCGTGTTATTGCTATTCGTGTTATCTGCTCTTCGTCCGGAAAAGATAACCTACTGGCTTTTGCAGCAGCTAGATGTAATTATTAAGAAATTACTGTATGTATTATTACAACAATAAGAATAATACCAGTAGTTATTAGTACGTAGCTTCCGTTTAATTAAAGTTTTTTTTTAAATTCCGTTTAATTAAAGTTAACATGTGATTATCCATATTTTGTACTCCGTCTGAATTCTGAAACTATGAAGATGATGTACTCCTCTATTCTCGCTATATTTTACTCTCTTTTTGGCACATCTCCAGTTTCATTCCCTTGATTTTCGAGCTTTTCCCTTAACTTTTTTTTATTCTCTTCTCATCGTAGATTTTAAAATGTTTGAACAGAAAACTTAAATTCCTCCAATAGAAAACTTAAATGTAAGTGTCAATCGGATTTTCAAAAAAAAATGTGTCAATCGCATTACAAAATATGGATATATGCGAAAAATAGTAAAATACGTAGCTAGCAGATTATAACTCCTCATTATTTCTAAATAAAGAAGGTAGATATATTGGTTCGTCATAACTAGTCTTAAGGAATAATAATCTGCATGCTTTTTATTAATCTTCTTTTTATTTAATTAATGATATTTTATGACCAAAGAATAGTAATGGTTATAGTTGAATTATATTTAGAACAACTATTTCTAACATATTAACCTATAAGGTTGATATAGAAATATACCATCATATAAATCCCGATAAGTCTCGTATAAAGTCTTGAATTATTCCTGGGATCCTATGAAGTTGATCTTGTAAGGCAATACACCTAAATTTATCAGAGCTAATTAACCTCGAATGAGCAATTAAATCCAGATAATATAAGTCTCAACAATGAGCACACACGTTAGTGACGTTACAGGACTTGCATGTGTTCTCCGATGAGCCACCATTTGTGGACGTACTAGTTGCATATAAAAATACAAATGAGCATATAAAACTTTGATCTTTTCATTTAATTAGGTTCATGAGAAGAAACTTTAAGATTTAATATACTCGTAACAAACATTCATGGTCGAATTATCAAGATGTTTTAAGAATTTGGGTACAAGTTTATAAATCACGTAAGAACATATCGAATGCATAACCGTGATACTACTCACAATTCAATGTGGATACTAATTTCAATTTTATACCATGCTAGATTTTAAAACATCAATATTGTTGGACAAATATAAAATGAGAAATGTTGATTTTGCACTCCACTCCATCTTTTGGGTGATATTGGATTTTGCGCTCCATTTTAATTTTTTTTTATTTTACACCTCAATTCTCTTAAAAATACTTTGAATTTGTACCTACATTTTTCCTCACAAAATGTTATAGGATGGGTGTAAACAAGATTGTTATAAATGGAATGCAAAGTTCTAACATCATTCAAAGTGTGAGATATAAAATAAAATTCTTCATGTAAAATGCATACATAGTACTCCTATACGTATAATACAGTGTTATGATATTAGGCCAATCTTATAGAGTAGACCGGTCTGGGAATTTTCTATCCAAATGCAGACATCCTAAATAGAGTACGTGATAATAAAATTCATTATGCTACGCGTATAATTTGATTGGTTCAAAAGGAGATGATAAAAGAGCTACTAGCTAGTCCACGCTATCTTTCTATAATAATACTCTCTACGCTTTCTAATTTTCTACTCCGTATATTCAAGGGTCCATTGTACATTAAATTAGCGGCACATCTTTAAAAATATATGCTCTTTAAAAGTTGCTAATTTTGTTAAGTTTGAAGTCTTCTTAATGTTAGGATGATTTTGCATTCAGTCCCAGAACAGACCAGATCAGATCAGACTCAAACAGATCAGACTTAAACAGACCAACCCATATCAGACCAGACTTAAACAGAACAAGCCAGAGTGCCAGACTACATTCGTAGTTATAAAATACACAGATCATACATTTACCAGACCAGTCTATATCAGATCATATTAGACCAAACCTCAACAAACCAGAACAAATTAGACCTGACCAATAAATTTCAATCCAAAAGAAGAGATGTATTTTGAATTTTGCAAATTCGTAGAGGGTAGAAATCTGTAGATTTCTCTAGTTGAGCAAACAAAATAGTACGTAGAAAAATTTGAAACTTCTTTAGAAACTTGAGGAAAAGTACGAAATGCATTAGAATATTCTAGGTGCCTCTAGAAATGTAAAGTTCTAACATAGTAACACATCCTCTTAATGAGTACTGTACGTCTGTACGTGAAGTAGGGTTGGACTGGCCCCGGGTTGACCGGCCACCCGGACCGTCACTGTGCGGGACTGGGCCTTGGGCCCGAACCGGGGGGTTGGGGCGAGCTACGGGTAGTCTAATTGGTGGACCGGCCCGGCCGGTCCGGGACCGGTCCGACCCAAAAAGTGTTTTTTTCGAATGGTTTGGACTTTGGGTGCTAGGCGGGTGGGGCTTGGTGGTTTGGGTGGGTGGGTGTGGGTAAGAATAAATAAGAAAAGTCATTTTTTTAAAAACAAAATATAAGATCCAACCCAACCCGGGCTCGGCCCGGTCCCGGAACCTACCTTGGCCGGTACTAGGCCTGTAGTACCCATACCCGGTCCCGCCCAAATCCCGACCCGGACCCGTGCCCGACCCGAACCCGAACCCGGTCCGTCCCTAACGTGAAGCCTCCTGATCTTGATTTTGCTGATGTATGTATGGAAGACAATAGATAAGTATGATGTGTGAAAAATTAAAAAGAATTCATCTCTAGCCTTGAAGAGTACTACAATTAGGGGTGAGAATTATATCCCTCACAATATACAAGACTGAATACATATTTTACGGCATTAGGATGAGAAGTTACATAGTTTAGATTACGGGTGGACATGCCAGTTTTAGTTCGATTTTTATCGATTTCAATTCGATTCTGTTTGAAACAGATTGTAAGAATGATTACCAAACAAAAATCATACTATCTTTCGATTTGGTTCGATTTGGTTTAGTTCAGTTTGGTTCAGTTTAGATTTGTTAGTTTTTGATAATATATGCAATTTTGGATACGATTTTCACTATGGGTCATCCGGAAACAGTCTCTTTGTGCTTTAGTACAGGGGTAAGACTGCGTACATCCGACTTCCTTACCCCACCATAGGTGGGTAGCCTTTGCGGCACTGGGGTAAATGAAAATGAAATGATGAAACTTTTATTGATTTTTTTTAGTTCGGTTCAGTTTTATTTAGTTTTTCTTGGTTTTGGTTCGCTTCAATTTAATATTGTTTGAGATAAATGCTCCCAAACTCAAACCCAATTGCACGTGGTACGATTTTGGTTCAGGGTAGTTCGATTTAGTACGGTCAGTTTGGTTAAATCAAACTAATATGCCACCCCTCCTTAAGATAGAAAGAAAAAATTAAAGATCAAGAAAGCCTAACATTTTTACCTATATAAGTGGTACTCCCCACATTTACACAGTTAAAGGTTTTTGCGCGCAGAACGTAGTAAGAGCGCTCGGTACCTCACTAGGAAGCAAATTAGGAAAGAATATAGAAAAGGCTCAATTTTAACGCAAGAGAGATCAACAACACAATTGTTGTTTATGGGAATAATAATGTATAACAACAAGAAAATAAATTTATGTATTAAATCTATTTTGGATAAGAAAGGATTAGCATTATGTACATTTATCCAAAAGGTTGATCCCCAACCCCAAGGCCTCCCATACCCTGACCCGACAGAACATATGAGAGATTGTAAATTACGGTGACTTAACCAATCCTAACGGTGGTAGACAGGGGCGGATCCATGATGTGATGAGAGGGGCCGGAATATTGATACGTTGTTTACCCTAAAGTTTTTAGAAAAAAATCCACTTAGATAGTTATATTACTCTTTAAAATGTAGTACACAAAAATATTACTTAGTCACTATTATTGACTATAATTGTTTCATGTTTCATTCATATCTAATACTCCGTACGTAGTACCATTTACTATTTTTTTTGATGAAATAATTAAGCATTTGCGCCTCTAAAATAGGGTGGGCACCACGAGCTAATGAGGATTTTTTATTCAATATAAAAAATTGAGAGATAATCAGAAGTACTCCGTATTTTCTACTACTATATAAAAAACAACAAAAATTGAGGGGTATAAAATTTTAAAAGATGAAATCTAGTGAAATAAGGATGTTTTTACTCGGACTGTAATTTTTCCCAGACCAGACCAGACCAGTCCAGACTAGACCAGACCAGTTCAGACCAGACCAGACTTGGATAGTTATAAAAATACAAAGAAACCAGACCTTACCAGATCAGATCAGACCAGACCAGACCAGCAAATTACAGTCCAAGTAAAAACATCCTAAAACTTCAAATTAGGTGTTGTGGCTTTTGGTTTCACCGTAATTGGCAGGTTCTATTCAGTCATCTTCCTACTTGCTACTATAGAAAAGCTTATGTGTTAAGGCCATAGGAATAATATATATATATATATATATATATATATATATATATATATATATATATATATATATATATATATATATATATATATATATATATATATAGGGGGAAGATCAAGTACAAAGTGTGCTTATTGTGCAAATATTTGTACGATGCACCTTGACGTTATTTGCATTGCATATTGAGGTTCAAAGTATTGCACATTATAAAGTCATAAAAATAACAGTTGCACATTAAGGTGCAACGAGTTGCACCCTAAAAAGTTGGGTTTTATTACAAAAATGTCACCTTACCTTTATGTCCTTTGGATCAACTCATCGGATGGTCAAGATGAGTTTGTACTTTGTAAATTAAGAAGGCTTTGTATTTGATCTCTATTCTATATATATGTATGTATATATATATATATATATATATATATATATATATATAATATATATATATACATACATACATACACATATATACATATACATATACATAGGGTGCGGTTTTCATGAAGATTTAATTCACATTGGTTACTCTTCTTCTTCTGGGTCAGAAATTTGTTCTATTGAATCAGAGAATTTGGTGAGGGAGGATACTCATGAGGGACTATTACAGATTAATGAGAAGGATTGTAGCGCTGACGCAATTTTCGAGGAAAAGCCGCTTCAGATAGCTTATCCTTCTCCTGATGTGCGGGAGATTGCAGATACCAATGAATCAAATGATGAAGAGATCACTTATATTAGGAGAGAGTTGACAGACAGAGAGCTACTTGATCGTATAACCGATCATGTAGTGAGCTTCACCGGCTATCGAATTGAACCAATTAGGAGGAGTGCTCGTATAAAAGCTAA